TCAAGTCAAAAGATCAGATCAAGCGAATGCATCTCATTTCAGTCCTAAAGACTGATATTCTAATTAGTTCCTTGTCACCCTGGAGTCACTACTCCATTCCCCTAGGAGAAATGTCACAGCTCCAAGAAGGCCCGCTTCCTAGTGACTTGCTTTCTCATTTGTCCCTAAGGTAATCAATTTTATGTAAACTATTAATCTTATTGGCTAACCATAGTTCTGTCCCAACTTATGCCCATCTGCCTTGTGAGTTCCTAGCTTTCCCCACCCCTTGAATCCATGGTTTTACTCTATAAAAGTCCCTTGAAAAGACACCGTCTTGGGCAACCTGCTCAGGTCCACTCTATGTCTCTTTCAGACAGAAGCTTTCTTTTTCTCAATAAATATATTCTACTCTTAACATTGTTCCTAAAATTCATTCTTTGATTTTGGAGAACACAAACTTGTGGACATACCAGGTTGGAAGTTTCATCCCCATATATCAGTAATATAGTAGTTCTTGAGTGTAAAATCATTTTGAGGTTGATCTGCAGGAATTCTTCGATTAATAAAAATTATAATATATTTATGTTTGCCTTCTGCTCCAAAGTATTTGTGGCAGCTTACAAAAATGCACTAAGTATAGTGTAGCAAGACATGAAGTGGGGATAGGTAGGCAAAAGGAAAAATTAAGAATAGCAAAATTACAATAAAGCCAGAGATAAGGTCAGCACACAAGATTCTGCAGTTCTCTGTCTTTGCAAAGAGTGAGGCACCAATCTCACTTTAAGCTTCCTAACAATGAGTTTGAAGTGGCCACATTTACAATGCACATAGGATAAAAATTAAATTCCTAGGCCTGAAAATAGAAAGAGACTTCCTCCCATGTACTCTTCAAGAAAAGATTTTGTGGCCAGCCTTTGATAACATGGTTACAAAAGGATTCTAAACAAATTCTTTTATGGCCTTTTAAAAATGATACCCCTCCCTGTAGTCAAAATACCAGACTCACCTAGAAAAAGCCAACTCAATTTTTTCTGATGGGTTGACTTGATCTAAAGACAACATTTTTGACAGCTCAGACAGATGGACTATGCATTTTTTAGACAATTCTTCGTAAATATCAGTTTCTGCTGCTGGGACTTGGGTCAAGTTTACACACATGAAAGTTTAAAGTGTTTTATCTGGTGTCAACTGGGAGGAAGTTTGTGTTGTCAGTATAGAAAACGGTCATTGTTTTGATGATATACTTGTCTGAAAATGCCTAATATGCCTTTGGAACCAAGAAGTAACAATTTCAAGTAAAATTGTTCTCAAAGTGGGTTGAAAAATGAGTGCATAAAGTCCTTACAGGTATGTGACACATAGGTAGAACCAAGTCTTTGAAAGAAAGGGTGGTTTTGTCTCCCCTATGCATATGGCTAATCCTGTAGAGAGTCAGAGAAAAGAGCATTATAGGTTAAGAGAGAGCTATGCCTCATTTACCTTAGAGAAAATGTTAATTTGGAATTAAAAGAGGAAGTGTTGGGTTCAGTTAATGATGTTTAAGCACAGTACTTATAATGCACTAGACATATGGAGTACACAGTGTGTTGGTCCTGGGCAGCTTGGTTACTGAATGGAAATACACTGATGAAAGTGAGAAAGAAAAACTAGATTTTTAGGGGAGGTAGGGGGCAGCCACAACCACTGAAAAGGCTGCCAAAAAGGATTATCAGTGTGCGTTTGTGTGTGTCTGTGTGTTACAATTTGACACAATTCAGTGAGGGGCTAGGTGGTTATCCTTGGACTTTTCTGATAAAATCATGTTCTACTATAGGTCACCAGGGTAAATTAATGAAGACAAACAATTTCACACTCAGTATGTTTGGAGATTTTATTGGCTGCATGAAACTAACTGGCAGGACAGAAATATACAGTGGAATGCCTCAAACTCAACTCAAAGTATTAAAAATTCTCTAGAAAGCTTTTACAGGTTAATTCCTCTTTCCTCACTGTCATATTTCCTTCATTTTCACCCAGACTTAGCATCCTCTGCTATGGAAGATTAACAATCATATCCATTAAGTGGGGCTATTACTGAGACAGGCAGAAATAATCATTTGCCACTTTTCTTTAAGGAAGCTGTTCAACTGCTCTTCTTGTGACTGTTTGGTGTCTTGGATCTCAGTGAGACAGTAGAGGTATCCTGACCCCTTCAGTCATCTTGGAAACAAGATATGATTAAAATGCACATAATCCTTCACCAAATTTGAGCAGCAGAACTATATAAATTTTGAATACCACCCAAGAAGGAAGTAAAGCTTTCTAATTGATTATCCAAGCTGGCTGTCAACAAAGTCTTCAATCAAGAGAGAACATAGGTTGGTCTTTGGTTGTCTCTGGTCTTTTAAATTGAGAATGCAGTGTTAGAATAAATCAGAAGAGGAAAGCAGGCACCAGGTTCTCTAGCTCATTTGCGGGAATAGGACCCCTAGGTCCAGTTCTGTTTGTATGTCCTGTTCCTAAGTCCAAGTAAGCCTCTAACAGTTACAGAGAGCACAGGGAGGATTTTCGCTGAAAATTTTACATTCTGAAGCTTTGAGTCATTTGTTTTCTTGGAAAAGAGAATAATTAAAGGACAACAGCAAGAGCTCCAGACCACAGAAGAAAAGTTCTAGAGTCAAGAATTTTGTGAGAGAGAAAAAATTTGATGAATACAGTCCCAACTGCCTTGTCAGAGGAAATGAAATTTTCTGTCAATTCAGGAGTCTCTGGGAGGCTACCAAACACCCTACTACTGAGCTACACCCACAGTCCCTGGAAATGAAATTTACATTGGAAGTAAAATTTCAGAAACACTCAAGAGAGGCTGTAAATCTAGCAAAATTCCAATTCAGCAGTGCCCTTAAACGCTTCAAAAACACCCAAAATACTGTCTTGTCCTTTCCTTTTTCTCGACTGAACTTGCTGTAGTACTGGAAAGTTTTTGTTTTGTTTTGTTCATGTAAGTTTACAGTTCCTCCGGAGAGGTTTGCTTACCTGGAGGCTCTTTACTGGCAGCCACACCCACTGCTAGTTTTTGCCTGGGACTAGGAGAGCCCTGGACTTGTGACCTTCACAACTAGGGACAAACAGTTGGGTGCTGGTTTCTAACCGTGTCGCTGGTGGTGATCTTTGCGACAATTTTTTTTTAGCAGTTACAGAGAACGAATATACCCACGTTCCTTCTTTATGTCCGGGGAAACAGCCTGCGACCCATTACCCAGTGGCAGCTCCGGGAGAAAGGGCGTCCCAGGGTGCATTGTGCATACCGCCCTCTGGTGTGGATCTCTGATAAAACAGGCTTTAGTGACCGAGACCCAATAAATTGACTGGAAATATCGATGCCAACTTAGTACAGGAGCCTCTTCTTTTAGAGTCAAGCACATTCAAATGAACAGTCCCACCACATCCAAAGTTCCCTGAAGTGTGGAGTGAGAAATGATTGAGCACCGTAGGACACCATGAGCAACGACAGTTAGGAAAAGTGGGACAGTTTACCAAAGGACGGGGGTCACCCAGGCATCCGGTGAGTGCAGCAGGCTGCCCAGCAGCCACTCAGTTCCCGGTGCTCTTTGACTCCAGCACACCAGCAGGTGGGCCTCCTTGGGGGCAGGCTCATGTCTCAGAGTCCTCTGCAAGCTTATTCTGAGGATAGATCCCTCCTCACACCTGACTCAGACTTCCTCTCCCGTGTAAGGCCAGGCAACACAACCTTCCTTCTTTCTAGGTCCAGGGCCTCAGACACTTGTGAGGCATGGAGGGCTGCATTTTCAGAATCGTCGAGGTTACATTTATTCAGCTTTATGGGTCGTGTACTTCGTGTAGCTCAAGGCGGTGCAAAAAGAGATACACGAATTTCTAGGCAAAGTGGAGTGCACCTCCTCAGGTTCATTCAACTGCTTTTGACAGTCCTGAAGTGAAGCAGGGGGGAATTAGTCTGATGCTTTTGTATGTCACCCTCATGATGACCTTGTGAGGTGAAGGATGCCACATGGGGGACCTCAAGAGAGTAGGGAAGGTTAAGAGAGTAGATGACTTAGTACAAGTAATCAATTTGAACCAAGTTAATTTGATTTTTACAAATTGGTAGAATATTACTTATTTTTAAATAATCCTTTTATTTTAAAATAATTTTAGATTTACTAAAAATATGAAAATAATACAGAAAGTTGCCATCTACCTCACATGGCTTCTCCGTTATATCTGCCATTGGTGCAGTGCCTTTATGTTGATAAGCCAATCATACACATTACTGTTACTGAAAGTTTATATTTACTCAGATTTCCTCAGTTTCCCCTCATGTTCGTCTTCTGTTCTGAGATCTCAACTTGGATACCACACTATATTTAGTCAGCATGTCTCAGTTTCCCTTGGAGATGACTTTCCCTGGTTTTTATGACCTTGGAAGTCTTTATCTTTTCTTTTTTGAAAAACTTTTCTTATTTTTGATGATCTTGAAAGTTTTGAGAAGCACTTTTCAGGTATATTGTGGAATGTCCCTCAGTGGGGATACGCCCACTGGTTTTCTTTCTTTAGTGTTTAATTTGTGGTAGCATGTGCTGGGGAGGAAAACCAGAGTTGAAATGTTATTTTCATTGCAAAACTAAAGGTGTGTACTATCACTGTTGATGTGGATGGGTTAGCTGAGTTAGTGTTTGTCAGGTTTCTCCACTGTAAAATTATTCTTTTCTCGCCTGAACTCACGTGGTACTCTTTGGAAGAAAGTCACAAGGTGAAGTCCATACTAAAGCAGTGGAGGTTATACTCTACCTCTTTAATACAGAGCATATACATAAATTAGGAACATACAAATAAATTCTGCAGAGGAGATTTTTCTGTTTGCTGCTATTTATTTAACTATTACTATCAGTGTGAATGCATGGATATTTATTCAATTTTTGGGCTGTAATCCAATGCAACTTCATTTATTTTTGTTATAGACACATATTGTTTTTGTTGTTGTTGTATATTTAAAATTTTTATTTTTCACTTTTTTGTAGTCTTGCTGAGAAGGCATGGAGGTGGTGTTTAGCCAGGACCTAATGTGTCAGACACTAGAATCCTTTTCTGCCACAGCCACTCCTGTTGGAGGCTCTCAAAGGAGATAAATGCTGGGACGAGGCCAGAAAAACAGCCTTCTTTGTCTCCAGATCAATCTCTGGGCTCTGCTGAATTGTAAGTTTTAAACATGAGATGAAAATATAGCTTTCTTAAAACCAGAGTATAAATGTGTGTCTAACATGTTATTTAACTCATTTAGTAGCAGGTAAAGTTGGTGTTTTAGAATGTTATAAGTAAACAGAACCACTAGGATATTTTAGATTTTAGGAAATTGTCCAATACAATTATAGAGACTGGCAAGCCCAAAATACACAGGATAAGCTGGCAGTCTGGAGGCCCAAGGGAGAGCCCATGCTGTAGTTCAAGGCTGACGGCTGCCTGCAGAATTACCTGTTGTTTGTGGGAGGCCAGTATTTGTGTTAGTCAGACTTTCGTCTGATTAGATGAGACCCACCCACATGGTGGAGTGCAATCTGCTTTATTCAAAATTCATCAATTTCAGAGTTAATCTCATTCAAAAATACTCTTGCCAAAACACTCAGAAAAAATACCCTTTGCCCAAACATTTGGGAACAATAGCCCAGAAAACAGACACATACAATTAAAAATCACATATAATAAAGCTGACTCACAGAGTGTTTGAGGAATGGAGTATTTGGTGAATGGAATATTAGTAGGTCATTTGAAAAAGGGACAATAAGCAGTAACTTTAGATACAAAATTTGTTAATGTTCTGTAGGGAAAAAAAGGAAGAAAGAGAGAAAAAAGAAAAACCACAAAACAAAACAAAAAATCCCTTTGCTATCCTCCACCTTTCAGGAGTCATTTGCTTCTCTGCCACTTACAAATCTATAAGTTAACATACAAAGTCACTGACTTAAAACTCTAATTACTAGTAAGTAGCAAACTCATGAATGGCACTTTCTTATTGGAAATTACATAATTCTTGGATGGGCCTTTTAAACAGTAGTATAGTATGATAGTGAAAGGACAGGTTGACATCTCTTAAGCTTACTGTGTTTGGGATAATTTTTCTTACAGTCTCACACCTAATGTTATCTTCTGCAGAATTGCAAGAATGCATTTTGCCAGCTGAGGCAACACCAGTGGTAGGGCAACCCCCAAACTCCGATTTGGGTTCCAGTCAAAGGAACGGAAAGTATTTTTGGGGGGTAGAGTGAGGTGGTGAGATAGTACAGGCCTGTCTTACTTTATTAGTCAAGGAGAAATAGAAGATTGTGGAAAGACATTAGTAACGGCAGTATCAAGGAGGGTCTAGAAAGCGCTCCATGGAGTCATAGAACTTTGGCTTCTTCTCAAACCAAAAGTACCGTTTCCTAGCACAATGGTCCAAGCAATATCAAACCTGGTCTGTTCATGTTAACACCCTTTTTTCTTTACAGTGGGGCAGAGTGAATAGAACCTGATTTTCCTAGAGAGAGGAAAACACTATTCATGGCTTCCAAATTTAAACCTTATACAATAATGCTAATTTTTACTTAATGCCTTTTAGACCAAATGTGGAGAGTGATATTGTATGCTGTAATGTTTTGCATCCCCCTCTGCATCTGGCCTTAGGCCTCACATACTGTTGGAGTTTTGCAAATAGCAGCTGCAAGATTTTAGGGGTGTACTATGCGTCTGTTAGAAATGGGATCATGCAGGAGAAAGTATTTTGAGAAAGCTATTTTGAGGCCAGGAGGGGGTGTCTTGAGGACATGCCAGAAGAAATGCTATCCAAAAGCACAAGAAAGGCCTTTATTTTTAAACAAGTGACTCAGATGGCAATACCAAATAATAAAAGTTATGATGATACATAAAAAAGAACCAAAGCCTGATAATGTCTGTCTTTATATTCTACATTGGTTCATTATCAGAAAAAAATATTTATTGAAGCACAGCAATGATCAATGGGCTTGTTATCCTGCACTGGCAGCCAAGAAGTCCTAAGACATAAGCATGTTGTAAAAGACAGTTATTTGTACAAGTGGTATTTGGTGCATAGCTTTGCAATAGGGATAATTTTGTTCCAAGATGAGTAACAGTGTCAGGATTCATACTTCAGGGTCCTGGTCTGATCATCTGGAAAACAGGGCTAATTGGGATGGTCCCTTGGAGGTTTCTTTCATCAATCCTGGGCTGAGAGCTCAAAGAACTTTCAATCAGACTCCTCAGTGCCATGCTTGGCCTTAATATTAAAATACAAAACCTTAGACTTCTTAGTCTGTTTCATTTCTCTTTTAAGTCTCTTTTTTTCTGTTACATTAAGGCTGTTTTAGGAATTTGCCTAGATTCAGTTCACTGCCCCTCTGCTTTCTTCCCTAGAAAACTCTTCTTTTTATCTCTTGGAGCATTTAAAATATTATTTAACATAGAATATATTGCAAGACTCAGATACCACCACGGTCACCAATGATAAAAGAGAATGTAGCAGAAGACCAGGTAGAGCAATGTTTTCTACAACAAGCAGGCTGGGGAAGGAACACAGGGTTAGGCACCAGATGGCTCTGAAATGGAATCAGGAGCCTAACCTGCTAAGCGGTGATGGTCAGCTTCCCATTGTCGTTACAGATACCTGAGAAAGTCAATTCAAAGGGAGAAAAGATTTATTTTGGTTCATGGTTGCAGAGGTTTCAGTTCACATTTGCTTAGCTCTGTTGCTTTACGTCTGTTGGGAGGTGGTGTATCATGGTGTAGAGTTTGTGGTAGAAACTATTTACCTCAAGGTGGCTTGGAAGCAAAGAGAACACAGGCTGGATACTGAAATGCCTTTCATAGATACCCTCCCTACCCCAGTAACCTAACTTCCTTTCACCAGGCCCACCTCTAAAGAAATCACCAGCACCCAATGCCATCACAAGCTGGGAACCAAAACTTTTCACTATCCTTGAATTGGTGCTGCATGGGGTGATCACGCAGTCAGTGAGATAGGAAATTTCTTTCGGGTGTTTATCCTTCAGTGATGAGAGCAGTCCTGTCTTATAGGCACTCAGGGCTGTGCTGAGATTGGGGTGAAAGCCAGGCTCAGGTGGACAGTGGGATAGAATCCATCTGTCTGGATGTGGCATAGTGTCTGCCCCTGACTCTACTGAGTGGGGCCAGTGATGGTAGCTAGCTTTCAAATGCAATTGATTATGTACCTCACACTATAGCAAGTGCTATGTCAATTAACTCATCACATTTACAACTCGTAGCTCTATTATCAGTCTATGTTTTCCAAATGGGGAAACCAAGAATGCACAGTAAGGAACTTGCCTGAACTCACACAGTTAATGCAAGTAGCTTAGATGAAATTTGAATCCGGCTCAGAATTCATGCTCTTGACTACCTGTAACATCGGCTATTGTAGTGTTTACTTGGGGGCACTTTGAGAGACTATTTCAATTTTTTGTGGTCTAAAAAGGTAAGCAAACTTTCATTTTAGGATCTAGACATGTAACAGAACTTATTTTGAGCTGCTAACTGCCCCCCCCCCCATCCTGGAATACTTCTATGCTTACAAAAATTTTATTTTTGTGGTACTGGAAATTGAACCCAGGTTCACTCTACCATTGAGCTATAGACTCAGCTCTATTAAAATTTTATTTTTAGGGCTAGGGATAGCTCAGTGGCACAAGCACCTGCCTGGCAAGCACAAACAAGTTCATTTCTCAGTACTGAAAACAAAAAACCAAAAATACACACACAAAAACAACGCTGAAAATTTTATTTTTAAAAAATGTTGAGGTTAGATGGCTTCCCTGAGTTGCCCAGGCTGGCTTCAAGCTTGCAATCCTCCTGCCCAGTATTCTGGGTAGGCATGTGATTACAGGCATGTGCCACTGCACCTGGCCAATTGGTTTTTTAAAATATTGCTGCTGATTATTACTACATTGGCTTCATTTGACATTAATTTTTCTTTAGAAACACAAATAGCACAAACATAAAGAGCTTTTTTGTAGCCTCTCAGGGAATGTTGGTGAGTATCAGCAAAATGTTAACCGCCCTCCCCTTTTGTGTGGCCTATCAGGGAGAGTATTGGGTCTCAGTAAAATGTTTGAGGTTGCTCCCTAGGCCCTTGACACATCCTGCTCCTTGGTCTGCTCGAGTGTCAATCTTTGTACTGATTGCCTGCTTTCCTCCCACCAGCGACTTTCCTCCTCCTGCAACTATCATTAGCTGTGGTAGCCTAATTTTATTGCTGAGTCAGATAATCAGCCTAAATTGCCTGTTTCCACCTCCAGCTGTGTCTCTGCCTTGTGGGAGAGAAAGCCTCTCTCAGAGCTCGGTACACTGCCCAACTGGATCTGATGTTCACAGTGGTTGTGCAGGCCACCTATATGCTCTTCGGTAACTTCTGAGCCTACAGGTTCTCCATTTTCCCCTCTCTGGAGGAGATGAAAGTTTTATTCACATGCTAAGCCTCTCTTTTGAATTTCTGTTTCAAAAGGGACCTATCTGCCATGGAATGGATATTGTGTCAATAGAAATACTGGCAGTATAAAGTTTCTAATTCTCCTGTAAGACTTTGAGTGCATCCAAGAAATGGCCTATTACTCATCATTTTATTTACCCTGGTGCCCAGCACGTAGGAAACAGTGTTGTTGGAATTGCATCTAAATTAGCATTGAGGCTAGAGAGTAAGATTCTGAGACGGCACACATGTTGCTAGCCAATTGCAGTGAAAGCTGCCAAACATAATCTATGAGCTGAGAGGCTGGGGTCACCCCATTTCCTGCAGCGAGGGCCTTCAAACCTGTCAGATGTCAGTTGCATTTGCAAAGCTAGGTGTTCAGGTGGAAGGTTGGATTTTTCTTCATTAAACTTATTCCCCAAGGTGGGGCTCTGACAGGAACCCAGTGAGATGTCAAACTGAGACAGCTGTTGCCAAACCTGGTGGAGGCTTTTCAGACAGCTGGTGATACAGCTGCTGCCCCAGACTTCCCGTGTAAAAGCCTTTTCTTCTTTAAAGAGGTCAGAATACTTAACCAACTAATGGCCATTTTGAAGTAGCGCTGTATGATGGAGATAGAATTGGATGAGTCGGGTCACATAGACTTGGATCTCAGTTCCACTTATTAGCTATGTGATTTTGAACAAATTCTGTCACCCTTCTGAGTCTCACTTTTTTTTTT